AATTCTGCATTTTTTTTTCTTTATATTCAGAATCGATCTTCTTTAACAAATACTTTACGTGGTGTAACAAATGAAGAAAAACTTAATAATCTTTGGGTTAAAATGCAAATTACTGTTAATTCTATATTTGATAGTTCATTAGATAATCGAAGTGGTGCTCGAGTAGGCAAAGGTATTCGACAAGTATGTTATTGTTTTTATTGTAAAATGATTAATTTTATTTTTTGAAAAAATAATAAAAGGTTATTGAAAAAAAAGAAGGTTTATTTCGTATGTATATGATGGGTAAACGTGTAAATTATGCTGGTCGATCAGTAATATCACCTGATCCATTTATTGCAATTTATCAAGTTGGAATACCTGAAATATTTACAAAAAAATTAACTTATCCACAATTAGTTACACGACATAATGTTCATGAATTACGTCAATTAATTCTTAATGGATCAGATGTTCATCCTGGGTATAAAACAACAAATTCTTTGATGATATACAATAAAAAAAGATTATTTTAGAGGAAATTTTGTTGAACTTGAACGATGGAACAATTCGTCGTTTATTACCAAATAATTTATCTCAACGAACAGCTGTTGCTAAACTTTAATTAACAAGAGAAAAACAACATAGTAATACAAGTTTAATGTTTAGAAAAAACGTTTATCGACATCTTCGAACCGGTGATTATGTTCTTGTTAATCGTCAACCAAGATTACATCGACCAAGTATACAAGCTCATATGGGAATTTTTTTTTTTTGTTCTTTGAATGATATTTTAATTGTATTAATTATAGGATCGAGTATAACCTGGTGAAAAAACCTTAAGATTACATTATGCTCAATGTGAACCTACTAAATTAAGTATATATGTTTTTTTTTGTCAAGGAAAAAACAAAATTTTGTTTTTTCTATTTTTAGTGATAACTTATCAAGATTTTCTTGTAAGTTAAGATGGAATACCATTAACTGGTCTTATTCAAGATCATGTTCTTGCTGGTAGAACATTAGCAATGCGTGATCGAGTTTTTGAAAAGTATTTTATTTTATTCAAGTTATTAAATTATATTTATATAAATTCTTTTTTATTTTAAGATCTGATTATCAACAACTTGTATATAATGCAATTGGATCACATTCTCGTCGAAAAATTCATTTATTACCACCATGTATTTGGAAACCAAAACAATTATGGACTGGAAAACAAGTATTTCTTTGTTTCTCTTAATAAAATCTATTTGTTTTTTTATTAAGATTATTTCAACAATACTTCTTTATATTCAACCAGTTAATGAAGCTTCACTTAATCTCGATAGTAAATCAAAACTTTCAATGAAAGTAAAAAAAAATTAATATATAAATAATAAAATAATAAAAATATTTCTTATAGTCATGCCC